AAATATTTAGGTGTTAACAAACAAGAATTTATTAACAAAACTGCTGATGTCTTTCCAAAACGTATGTGTGAAAGCCGAGTAGATTTGCAGTAATGTGACTCATCGGCAGTCGAAGGACCCCGAGTCGATCCTGCACCCAAGCAGATCCTGTACCGACACCGGTGGTCAGGGCTAGCCCCCACAACGCAAGGGGGCCCCAGGCGGCCGCCGACCTATGCCATAGCCATGTGTCATTAATGGTAAAACTGCCACTGCTTCTAGGTTCATGTCCTTGCTGTGGAGCTCTCCACGGTGCTGAACAGTGTTCAGTAAACCTCCAGCAGGAAGAGACTGACTGCTTTGGGATCCCAGTGGGTCACGTAATTCCTGCGGGATTCCCGTGAAATAGAAGTCAAGTTATTTATAATCAAGTTCCTGGGACAAAACAGGAAACAACGGGAGTGGGCGTGGGAATAAAAATACATTTAGATTCCTGCTCAACATGAAACTCATGTCTTTTAAATGAAAGTGCCGCTTTAATTTACATTTAGTTCTGTCTGACCTTTCAGTGATTGTGAAAACATGATGGACAGTCGGATGTGTTCAAATCGGACATGACCCACGTGCCTCTTTTCTCAACTTGCCAAATGAAGAGTTTTCCTGAAAACCACAAATTGCAGATTGTTTGTTTATAATTTGCTCTGATTCTGTGATACGGACATTATTTTCAATAACCCATCACAGATCGTCTCTGGTCTCTGCAACAGCTGCCTGCAGGAGCGCTTCTTCTGAGCATTTTAATTGATCTACACATGGTGCACGGCATACCAGAAGGAGATTTATTATTATTATTATTATTATTATTATTATTATTATTATTATTATTATTATTATTTTATTGTTATTATTATTATTATTATTATTATTATTATTATTATTATTATTATTGTTGTTGTTGTTATTATCAATAGTTTTAATTATTTTACAACTACAATAATAATAATAAAAATAACAATATATTTATAATAATATATAATATATTTTTTAATTCTCATTTCAGGCTTCAACAGTATATGTTAGGGCCAGATGTTTTATTCATATTTGTGTATGTGTGTGCGCGTGTGTGTCAATATTGACAAAATGGAAACTTTCCCAAAAATCACACAAACCATCATAAAATCACACAAAAAATACTTATTTACAACTTTTAAAGTATTTATTAATCAAATGTAGAGTCAGCTGATGCAGGTTCTTCTCTTCTGCAGCAGTTTATCTGTATTTCTCAGACAGAGCCCGGGCCACACCAGCCAGGAACTTGTCCATGGCTACATGGACCTCAGGGGTGAAGTCTTTGGGGAACTGGATAGCCAAAACCACCAGAATGTTGTGGGCAAGAATCTGTGAAGAAATCATCATTCAAATTAGAGACATCTCAACATTCTTGTGCTGGCTGAAACATGTGAGGGATTAATGTGAAAATAACCAAAGCAGATGAATGAAAGGATGGAGGAAAATAGACCAGATGATCAGACACACTTTTAATTCATTCAAAGCTTTTAGTTTTCTACCTTGAAGTTAGCAGGATCCACTCTGAGAGTGAAGGCGTGCAGCTCGCTGAGGTTCAGAAGACCTGCAGTCAGATCATCGATTTTGGACACGGCATCACCAACTCCAGCCATGATTGTAGCTCCGTGCTTTGCTACTGGAGCAGAGCCAGGGCTCAGGTCCTTCCAGTGGGCAAAGTAGGTCTTAGTCTGAGGGTAGACGACCAGCATCCTGGAGAGCGAGGAAGGAATGAAGTGAATATGAAGTCATAAATCTTTCTAAACATGAGGTCTACTCCATTTCAAGTCCCGTTTACCTGCCCAGAGCATCTTTGCCTATGTCAGCCCCCTTGGTGGAGGCTTTGGCCCAGAAGGCCTTGACGGTGTCCTTGTCCTTAGCAGAGAGGCTGGTCATCTTGTCGTTGTTAGTTTAGTTTGGTTTTTGGTCAAACCCTCATGAGTTATATGCCTGAGACAGAACGAAGACACTCCCATCACCTCCCACACGATAGGTGATAAGAAGCATCTGAGTTGGGAGTTTTAGAAAGATAAAGAGAAATCTCTCCATGGCTTCTCAGAATTGCAGCACTTTTGTTCTATAAGCCTGTTGCAGTCATTTCATTTGGTGCAAATCACCATAAAATAAAAGTTATTACAGTGAAACATCAGTTTCATGCTCACTAAACAGTTATCTAACCACCGTCACAATAAAAGCACATTTTAGTTAAAAATGAAGTTATAATTGTTCATTTTCAGACCTGAGCGAGCACACACAGGTTGTGTCTGTATTTATATCTGACCAATATCTGTTTTATCTGGGCATATTGAATCCATCTGAATCCATTAAACTCATACATAAAATGTTTTATTTATCCTTTCTTTCTTTCTTTCTTTCTTTCTTTCTTTCTTTCTTTCTTTCTTTTCTTTTTCTTTCTTTCTTTCTTTTCTTTTTCTTTCTTACTTTTATTCTTTCTTTCTTTCTATTGTTTTTCTTTCTTACTTTTATTCTTTCTTTCTTTCTTTTCGTTTTCTTTCTTACTTTTATTCTTTCTTCATTTTTTTCTTTCTTTTCTTTTTCTTTCTTTTATTCTTTCTTCATTTTTCTTTCTTTCTTTCTTTCTTACTTACTTTTATTCTTTCTTCATTTTTCTGTTTTTCTTTCTTTCTTTGTTTGTTTTCTTTTTCTTTCTTACTTTCATTCTTTCTTTCTTTTCTTTTTCTTTCTTACTTTTATTCTTTCTTACTTTCTTTCTTTCTTTATTTCTTTTCTTTTTCTTTCTTACTTTTATTCTTTCTTTCTTCCTTCCTTTTTTCTTTCTTACTTTTATTCTTTCTTCATTTTTCTTTCTTTCTTTCTTTCTTCCTTCCTTTTTTCTTTCTTACTTTTATTCTTTCTTCATTTTTCTTTCTTTCTTTCTTTTCTTTTTCTTTCTTTTATTCTTTCTTCATTTTTCTGTTTTTCTTTCTTTCTTTCTTTGTTTTCTTTTTCTTTCTTACTTTCATTCTTTCTTTCTTTTCTTTTTCTTTCTTACTTTTATTCTTTCTTACTTTCTTTCTTTCTTTATTTCTTTTCTTTTTCTTTCTTACTTTTATTCTTTCTTTCTTTCTTCCTTCCTTTTTTCTTTCTTACTTTTATTCTTTCTTCATTTTTCTTTCTTTCTTTCTTTCTTTTCTTTCTTACTTTTATTCTTTCTTTCTTTCTTTTCTGTTTCTTTCTTACTTTTATTCTTTCTTTCTTTTTTCTTTTTCTTTCTTACTTTTATTCTTTCTTTCTTTCTTTCTTTCCTGTAAACCAGTTAGCACTTATATGACAGATTTCTGAAAAGCATCTAGGTTGAATAATTCTCTTTTACAGCCCTAAGCCTCTACACTGCACCTCCTTCCAAAGATGGAAAATCAAGTAAAGACAAACTAAAATGTGTCAGTAAATTGTTTCTTTCTTTCAAATAGTAAAACTAAAACAAATCAAGACTGGACTATCAAATAAAAATGTCTACTGCTGTCATGGTTAAATGTTCTTGCTCATACTTATATTTACTAGAAATGTGTGATTTAAACAGACTCGTGTGTTTACTTTGTTTTATGGGATCTGTTAGACTATTGCATAATTTTACACTTAGCTGTGAGTTTTTCTCTCCACTGTCACTGCATGCTTACTTAGTATGAGGATTGCTGTAAAGACTCTGACACTAGTCAGTGACTTGATGCAATTTGCTGGGTTCTTTTTAAAGGAAACTTTTTTCTGATCGGCTTAATGAACTGACCTGTATTGGAATGTTTATTATGTGAAGTGGCTTGAGACGACTCTTGTCACGATTTGGCGCTATATAAATAAACTTGAATGGAATTGAACACACCAGCTTTATAATCTCATGTATTTATGAATTAAATTTAAACTGGATCCTCTTCCCCTTACTTCGAACTCATCAGTGACTTTATACTGTGGTTTGTTGTGTCTTCCTTGAACATGATTTGAGCGTTTTAAATCAAACCAAGTCAGGAAACTTCATCACTCCAGTAATGAGTTCATGTGTATGGTGTCCAAATCCAGTGGTGTTTATTAATCTACCTGCTCTTTGTTGCATTCTATCAGGTGACTGTATTTTTGTCTTTTTATGTATTTCCCCACGCTTCTACACAGTATGTCAGATACGGTGAGTTAGAAAGCATGAAGAGCTCATTTATGTTTAGTTTTTCCCAGGATGGTGAGAGTCTGAGCCATCTTCACTCGAACATCTTCAGTTGGTGGTTTCCAGCTGATTATGAGATCTACAAATGTTAACACATTAAACCCTTTTAAAAATTAACAGTTAAATGTTTTTATTTTATAGATTTATTTGTTTGATTGATTCAAGTTGTAACAATGAAACACAGAACTTGACATGAATATACTGTTGGCCTGTTTTAACAGCTAACTAACTAAAACTTTATTTATATAGCGCCTTCACATGGCCCAAGGACCAAACAAAGCGCTGCACAGCGGAAATAAGCATTAAAAAAAATAAAAACATATGAAACCATTTAAAAACCAACAAAAACATGCAGATAAAATCTAGGTGGGGCAGAAAAAGTGCAAAGCCATCAGTTAATGGGACTCTTCCTGAATAAAAGCTAAAGAATAAAAGTGAGTTTTCAGCTGGCTCTTAAACTTGCCGATTTGCCAACAAAACCATTCTTTATTTAAGGGGTGTGTTTGGTTTGAAGGGCATTCAAAGCCTAAACTAAAAGTGACTGAAAGCTGAACATGTTCATTAAAACATTCTGTTTAGCTGAAAATGCTCCTTCATCCATCAGCTCTTGGCCCATGCTCTTTAAGATGTGCCCATGCTGATTATCTCCTCTGAGTCAGGAACAGCTTGTACAGACTTTTCTTATCATTGTGCCAAAAGCTTATCACCTCACCTTCTTGCCCATTTCACCGCCCATCCAGCTGTTGGCTTCTAAGGTGGGTGTGGGAGGGGGTTGCTTTAAAAGTTGCCTCCTGTGCCCGACCGGTTGGCAGTGGACACAGCATCTACTGAGAGAAACCTATACATAACACAAAAATGGTCGAATGGACAGACTTCGAGCGCTCCACCATCCAGAGCATCTTCTCCAAGATCGATAAAGATGTTGTGGGTCCTGCAGCTCTTGCCAGGTAGCACAACTATTTAATTTTACTTTGTTTAATATGAAAATATGACTGTTTTAATTTCAAATACAAACGTTTGACTTGCTCAGGTGTCTCATCGTCTACCCCTGGACTCAGAGGTATTTTGGTACCTTTGGAAACCTCTACAATGCTGAGGCGATAAAAAGCAATCCCAAAGTGGCCGCTCATGGAAAGGTGGTCCTGGCTGGTCTGGAAAGAGCTGTGAAGAACATGGATGACATCAAGAACACATACAAAGACCTGAGTGTGTTGCACTCTGAGAAACTGCACGTGGACCCCGACAATTTCAGGGTAAAAACCATCGTAAAAACACATTATTGTGCTTTATAATTTAAAAATGTTATTTTCCCATTTTGTTAGTGTTGTCTCTGATGCATGTTGTTGTTTTGCAGCTCCTGGCTGACTGCCTGACTGTTGTTGTTGCTGCTGAGCTGGGAAAAGACTTCACAGCAGACGCCCAGGCAGCTCTCCAGAAGTTCCTGGCCGTGGTGGTCTCCTCTCTGGGACGGCAGTACCACTAAATGGCCTCAGCAGGAGAGCGTCGCTCCAGCCAGACCAACTCTATTTGGTCTCTAATAAAAATAAAACTAGAAGCACCGTAAAGAGTATGTTGCCGTCTTCTTTGCACTTAAAATGATAAAAAGACAAAAATGTAAAGAAACGTAAATCTACGGCTAAGACAGACAAAAGTAACAGAAACAGACGTGTAGTCTCTAATCAGACAAAACCAATTTATCAGTCGGCTGTTGTTGTAGATAGACACCATCAGAGACCTTCTCATCATAACCGAAACATCTGAGTTTCCTTCATGGTTTTAAAAAGTGATGCATAAATAAAACTGAATTAAGTTTTTCACTTTATTTTAAAAGTTAATATTTAAAAATATAATATACAAATATTTGAGATCAGCAGAAAAAACACCAGAATAAAATCACCCTGAACCTCCTGATCTGCTAACTCTGTTGTGCGCTTTGCCAAGAGAGAAAATACTACCAGCAACTATCCTCTTACATGTTTTTGACTTAAAGGAATAGTTATTATTTACAGATTTATCATCAAGGCATTGATTCGAAAATACCCCAAAGATTGGTTGGTATAAACAAACAAACAACAAATGCATTTTTGTGTTGTTTTGTAATATTTTGTTTTTCTAAAGGCTGAGCTTTTATTGTCTGGGTGTAAATGTGTTTGTGTCATAAAATACTGTTAGGGTAGGGTGTGGTTCACTCAAAATCCAGCTCAGTGGCCTAGTGGTAGAGTGTCCGCCCTGAGACTGGGAGATCAGGGTTCGATTCCTGGTCGGGTCATACCAAAGACTGAAAAAATGGGACCCAATGCCTCCCTGCTTGACACTCAGCATTACGGGGTTGGATTGGGGGGTTAAACCACCAAATGGTTCCCGAGCGCGGCTGTATCTGCAGCTCACTGCTCCCCCAGGGGATGGGTCAAATGCGGAGAACAAATTTCGCACACACATCAGTGTGTGTGACAACTAATGGTACTTTAACTTTAAATCTGTATTTTTATTTTGTTTTACAAATACTAACATGTATAAAAATATGCCCCAATGACAACAGGCCTGGAGGCTCTGATGACCAATAAACAGGATCCAGACTCTTCCCACCTTCTTCACTCAAAAAGGAAAAATAGAAATTCAAACATCGTTTTTGCGTTAAAACCTCTAACCTTTCTAAGTGAATGTGTTGCTCCAACTGTTCTTGTTTTGCGTCATGTTGATGGCATTTAAAACACTGAATAGTCTTATTTCCACGAAAGGACCACAGGTGAAACATTTGTTGTGTTTTTATTCATGCCTTTATTGATTCATGCAGCGTGAGCTGGTGCATCTTCGTCCCTCCTGCAGCGGTTTATCTGTATTTCTCAGACAGAGCCAGAGACACACAAGCCAGGAACTTGTCCATGGCTACATGGACCTCGGGGGTGAAGTCGTTGGGGTACTGGATGGCCAAAACCACCAGGATGTTGTGGGAGAAGATCTGGAGGAACAAACATTTCGGAGTGGAATCAGAGTCTCCTCTTTACTTCTCAGCATATCTGTGACCAAGGACTTGCTTTTAGGATGTGGCTTTAGGGTTGGTTTAGCTTGAATCACACATTACCTTGAAGTTAGCAGGATCCACTCTCAGAGTGAAGGCATGCAGCTCGCTGAGGTTGAAGAGTCCTGTAGTCAGATCATCGATTTTGGACACGGCATCACCAACTCCAGCCATGATTGTAGCTCCGTGCTTTGCTACTGGAGCAGAGCCAGGGCTCAGGTCCTTCCAGTGGGCAAAGTAGGTCTTAGTCTGAGGGTAGACGATCAGCATCCTGGAGAGAAACACCAGAGAGAGGGAATTAGGTCAAAACCAAACAACACACGTCCTAACGTTTGACACCTGGGAGACTTTTACCTGCCAAGAGCCTCTTTACCAATGTCCGGTGCCCTGCCAGAGATCTTGCCCCAGAAGGCCCTGACGGTGTCCTTGTCCTTAGCAGAGAGGCTGGTCATCTTGTCGTTGTTAGTTTAGTACTGTGATGAGTGAAAACACAGAGGGTTTTATGCCTGAGGCAGAACCCGGACACACCCCACACCTCCCATCAGATAGGAGATGAGAGGCGGTGACGTTTGAGATAAACACAAACGTCACACAGAAAAACCTCTTTAACATCTTTATGTCTTCAGGATGTAGCTGGGAATATAACGGTAGGCTGCAATAAAGAGGAGTAAGTTTAGATTCATCGTGTAAAATGAGCTTCTTTAAGTTTCGCTGGGATGACCTCTGCTGGGGGTTGTCCCCTTTAGAAATAAAACACAATAAAAATTAATTCAAAAGAAAATAAGTTTGGTGTTGCTGTAAAAACAATGTTTAAAATACCATATATCAGTGACTAATTTTCACCAATCAGGTATGAGAAACTGATTCACGTCTTTGAGCAAAACTCAGAAACACGAATAGGATCGACTTGATCCAAACTGATTTTCAAATCTAGGCTCTGCAATCAGGTAATATTAGATTTATTTGGAAAGCATCCAGTGAGTGCAGTTATGTCACATTCTGTCAGAAGGGTTTGTGTTTCAAGGCCTTATCTAATCCACACCGCTGCAGCTGCAGGGGTGGAGCTTCTCCTGGTGGCCAGATAAAACGTTTCTAGCCCAGCTGATAACTTTCTATGTGGACTGCATCAGTGAGCTCACCAGAGCTTTCCTGGATGTTGGTGAAATTCTCATGAACGAGTAAAATGATCATCAACGTTAACAGCTTCGGCTATGTTGTTAGCATAGAGCTAATGTATTTTTTACCCGCAGCTAAAAGGCATTGATTGTCTCCCTTTATTGTTCTTTCTATACAAAACTCACCTGCAGTGACATGTACTGCACGGATACACATTTTATTTAAACATGGTGCATCTTTGCAAAACTATTAGTGAAAAAGGAGCAAGTGTTTTTGTGGCTAATTTGGCTGAGTCATATGATTTTGTTGTGTGAAATGTGAACATGTTTAAACTGCTGCAAGAGTCTGTTCTCACCTTGTTTTAGATATAAAACATGAAACTCATCAGTCTTTAGGAGAAAGCAAAATACAAAACCCCTCAGAAATGTTTCACCTTTAGAACATAGCTGGCATTAAAACAGGAACATTTGTATTTTTTACTAAAAATGCTTTGGGCTAAATAACTCATCTATGCACTCTAACAATCAGCAGCGTGTAAAACATAAAATAATCAAAAGCTGCAGGATAATTAACTGTTTAGTTCTCCGTGTAAGTGGGTATTAAGTACATCAGTATAGTTGAGGTGCAGTTATGGTACATTTTTGGTTGTTTTAACAACATAAACATAATGATGTGTGATTTTTATTTACGAAATAAAAATGACAACATCAGGATCAAACTCAAAATGCTAGAGAATCTGATGATATGCATCATTACTTGCTGTGTAAAACAGTACGACACAAACTATAAAACTGACAGGAACACTTTCACCAGCATCGTCACTTTTACATTCATGTTGTCATTAAGTTCATTTATTCATGTTGTCATTAAGTTAATTTATTCATGTTGTCATATTTAGGATGATACACATTATTAATAAGAGCAGCACACACACATAAATGTCCACTTAAAGTTAGACAGCACAATGCAAACCCAATGAAACCTAATATTTATGTATGCACAATTGCGCGCACGCACACACACACACACGCACACGCACACGCACGCACATGCAAAACCACACAAACACATGCACATGCAAATACACATACACACACATGCAAACAAACACTAACAAACACGCATGCACACACACAGGCTCACACATGTACACACACCGACACACACGCACATGCAAAATCACACAAACTCACACACATGCAAATATACACACACACACACGCACATGCAAATATACACACACACACACGCAAATGCAAATGCACGTATGCACACACACACACACACACACACACACACACACACACACACACACACACACACACACACACGCAATTACACCAGTATGCATGTACATGCATGCACACACACATACGTATGTACACACACACACACACGCACACACACACACACACACATAGGCATGTACATGCATGCACACACATGCACACATATACATGCAAACAAAAACTAATGCACACGCATGCACTCACACACACACACACACATATGCAAATATGCAGGCACACACACTCACACAGACATGCAAATACACACACACGCACATGCAAATTCACATACACACACATGCAAATACACACACACGTGCACACAAATTCATGAAGCTTGAACAGGATCTTTTTAACAGTTTACTGATGAGCGTCCATCGCTCCATCTGACCACAGGAAGTGTGACTCAAACATTAAAAAGTGAACTCAGAACTCTGAATCCATCCTTGTGTTATCTCACCAGCTCCTCCCAAACACCAGCAGCTGTCTGAAGGCTCCAGCTGCTGCTCTGGAGGTATTTTTCTCAGAGATTGTGACCAGGGCAAACTCACTACAGCATTGTTGTCATAAATTCCTGTGAACTCTATAAAAGTGTTTAGTTTATGAATGCAGCTGAGCTGTTTAGTGTCAATTCAGTTCTGTTTATTTATATGGCGCCAAATAACAACAAGAGTTGTCTCAAGGTACTTAACAAAGTAAACATTACAACTGAGCCTACTTATCAGTGCACTGAGTTGAGATAAATATGCCATTTAGGTAATCTTTCCTAAGTAAGAGAATCCAGCAGACTGACTCGTGTCATCTATTTAAATCTCACACCATCGCCCAGTTTTCTCTAGTATAGTAATATTACATATTGTATTGTCATGGCTGTGTTTGCAGGGTTTCCTCAAAGATTTACAGACTCAGCTTATATTTCATGTAATTTAAAATGTGTCTATTTTTGACACAGTTCTGTTTTGTCGCAGGATAATAGCAGTTATTTAGTTGGGTTATATTTCTATTATTCATAATAGGTCAAAGTTGAGCCATTTTTTATTAAAGTGGAGGGTATTGGTTTTCATAGTCCCCTCATGTTTATTCATAGTTGGAGGGTGGAATAGCAAATTCAGACTTTTCTACAGTGGGACGCGAACGTTTGGACAGCCTTGTTAATCTTCATGATTTTCCTGTATAAATCGTTGGTTGTTAGGCCAAAATATTTCAGTTAAATACATCATATAGGAGACACACACACAGATATTTGAAAAGTGAAACAAATATAGGATTCACAGAAAGTGTGAAATAATTGTTTAAACAAAATTTAGGCACCAAAAAAAGAAATGAACTCATTTAGTAAATCCTCGTTTTGCAGAGATAACAGCCTCTAAACACTTCCCATAGCTTCTAATGAGAGTCTGGATTCTGGCTGAAGGTATTTTGGACCATTCTTCTTTACTAAACATCTCTAGTTTATTCAGGTCTGATGGACAGCTCTCTCTAACTCACACTACAGAGTTTCACTAATTTTCAGGCCTGGGGAGTGAGATGGCCATTCCAGAATGTTCTACCTGTTCCTCTGCATGAACGCCTTAGTAGATGTTGAGCAGTGTTAAGGGTCGTTGTCTTGTTCAAAGATCCAGCCCCGGAGCAGCTTCAGCTTTGTCGCTGATTCCTGGACATTGGTCTCCAGAATCTGCTGATATTGAGTGGAATCCATGCGTTCCTCAACTTTAACAAGATTCCCAGTCCATGCACTGGCCACACAGCCCACATCATGATGGAACCACCGCCATGTTTTACTGTAGGTTAGCAGGTGTTTTTCTTGGAATGCTGTGTTCTTTTTCCTCCGTGCATAACGCCCCTTGTTACGCCCAAATAACTCAGTTTTAGATTCATCAGTCCACAGCACCTTATTCCAGAATGAAGAGGGCTTGTCCAAATGGGCTTTAGCAAACCTCAAGCAGCTCTGTTGGTGCTGTGGGTGGAGAAAAGGGTTCCTCTGCATCACTCTCACATGCAGCATCTCCTTGTGTAAAGTGCACCAAATGGTTGAATGGAGCACAGAGACTCCATCTGCAGCAGGACGATGTTGTAGGTCTTTGGTGCTCGTCTGTGGGTTGACTCTGACAGTTCTCACCATTCTTCATTTCTGTTTATCTGAGATTTTTCTTGATCTGCCACTTTGAGCCTCAACATGAACTGTGCCTGTGGTCTTCCACTTTATTTTATTTGCACAATAGAAAAAAGGATACAATAAAGATTATAAATTATAAAAATTACAGTGCTGGAGGAGTCAAGAGCCATCGAGGCTTATCTGAAGCTGGAAGAGTTGTTCTGAGACCTCCATGTTGCTGCTCTTCAGAGAATATTCAAAGAGGAGGGAAACTTACAATTGGTCCCCTTCAGTACTCTTTGTCATAGATGGATTCACCTGTGTATGGAGGTCAAGGGTCACTGAGCTTACTGAACCAATTTTAAGTTCCAGTAATTCATTATAAAGGTTTTGGTATCAATAAAATAACAACAGCACCCAAATGTATGTGCCTGCCTAACTTTGTTTAAACAATATTTGCACATTTTCTGTAAATCCTATAAACTGAGTTGCACTTCTCAAACATCATGTGTGTGTCTCCTATATGAAATAGTTAACTGAAGTTTTTTTACTGTAACAACCAACGATTTATAAAGGAAAGTCGTGAAGATTAACAAGGCTGCTCTAACGTTTGCACCCCACTGTATCTGTTAAAAGGAGAAAGCATTAATAGTAAAAGTTTGTATTTTAAAGCGTCAGCAGAAACTGTAAGCAGAGGAATCTGGAGTAGAGAAGAAAATATAGGATATAATAGAAGACTTTTGCACAAAAACATTTTCTTTTTGTCTCGTTTATGTTTTAAACAGGACTGGGTATAAAACGAGAGACTGATCCGGTCTCCAACATCATCATGAAGCCCATAAAACACCCACACCCTCACATGGTAATAAACCACAAACACAAGAGAAACATGTAGTCCGCATTTATTAACTGTTCTTCCAAAATGCACCAATTAGAAGAGTCTGGAGTTTTACATAAATCACCAGAAAACAAACTACGGAAAATAGGTGTGAGATTAAAAACCCTAGAAAAGATAAAATACTTAAATAAAAAAACTTTGGAGTTTATCAAAATCGCATCACTGAAAAGTGAGTATGAAAAATGTGAGAAAGTCTTTAAAAAGTAACAGACATTTTGACATCAACAGCCTCCAAACTCTCACTGAGGAATCTGATTTCAAGCAAAGTGCTTGTGAGTCTGAACGGTCATATATTATCTGGTTACTCATATGATACACGAGGCAAACGTTTAAGACCCAGGTCGCTCACTTATTGGTTCCCAGACAGATCTAGCTTTAAAACCGAGCACATTGCATACACAAATACAATCTAATCCCTCTTTACCACCAAAAATACCTGCATGACTACAAATCCAAAAGCTCTAATGTAGCAGAGAATCATCCCTTCCTGCCTTCACACAGACTTGAGTCAAAAATATTTAGGTTCAATTTGCAAAAACATGATCAAGACGTTAAGTTGTTGTTTGTAACTCAGCCATCAACAGATTACTCTGGGAGAGAAATGATAATCATCCTGGATTAAGTCAGAATAAAAAAATGAATAGAAAAATACTCTGGTGTAAATAAATCTGTGCATAAATACCGACTGAGGTGGAGTTTTTATTTAGTAGCACCAAGGAGCTCATTGATGCAAGGACACTTGTCTATGACGGGGTTGGCTTTTCTTATTCCAGATGGCAGTGGGGATCACATGCAGTGACGCAGCTGAGTCGAATAAAACGCCAACATGGAAACATTTAACGTGAGAATGCATAAAACGGGTGTTTAGTAGACGTGAGCTGTACTTTGGTAAATAGTTGTGACCTTTAAGTGCCAAAGACAGCAGTGCAGACAGCTGATTTGTTACAACGCCAGGATGATGATTACAGAGCAACTTCTCTTGCATCACTAAACACCTGCAGCCACAGCCAGGTGTGACGGTGGCGCAGAGACCGTAACATCATGATGTACCTAAACTACTCAGAGTGAAAACAAACACAATGCTTTTCTAAATGACATGTATGAAGAAGCATGTGGAGAAGAGGTGGGGAGGCTGCAGGACGGAGGTTTATTTGAGTTCCCCAGAAGGAGGAGACGAGCCCAGGAGAGGAGACTTAGGAGAAACCTGCAGGAGGAAGCCAAACACACACACACACACAACAGATCAGCAAAGGAAGACAGGCCGGAAAAACGTCTCTTTGCTATTTTTGGATGGAAAACAACAGACTTGGAACATTTACTGGTATGTTTTATTATAATAGCAGTTAGCATAGTATTTTAGGCTAAAACCAGAATACTAATACTAACCCTAAGTGTAAACATCAGCGGTCTCTGATTAGGGAGTTAATCGACTTTGTGCGTTTCCTTTGATTTTGTTCATGATGGAACTTGCTGGGACCATCGCTGCTGCCGGGTTCAAGTAGAATAAACACATCAGATGGATTGTTTTCATTTCACAGAGTCAGCATTTGTGTGAGGGTGCTTGACTTGGATCATTTAATATTAATAAACAACAAAATGACATTTTGTCCCTAATGTGGCCACTGACTCACAACGCCTTACCAAAAACTTTAATTCTTTAAATAAATGAATAACCATAAAAGTTCAGACTCATGAAGTAGTTTGGATGTTGTCGTCTGTACGAGATCGTTTTTACTCAGGTGTTCTAATCTATATTGTCTTCAGTGAGAACAGGATCTGATCACATGGCTGACTCTTGTTCACAGAGACTAAAACAAATATTGTTTTCAATCTTGGCTCAGTTTTTCTTTTCACAGTTTCGTCTCTAGTGAAGGACACGTGTCAGGGTGGACTCTAGGGTTCGACCTTTAGCGGTCCTCGGCCCTCTGTGAGCAGCTGACAGCAACTCTGGGCCAGAACTACTCAGCTGCCACGTTTAAGTTTAAGATCTTTTAGAATAGCCTGACACTTTCAACAGATTGTCTCACCAAAAAAAAAAAAAAGAGATCATGTCCCTAACTTGTAAATTTCCCAAAAAACCGAGCCTCACACGTTAGCCCACAATCTAAATTAAACTTTAAAATCGTAAAATTCGGTGTCAGGTTAAAAACAAAACCCTTTTTATTTTGGCTCACTCCAACACTTCTTTGGGCTTCACACAGCTGCACAAAGAGGAGAATTACACTAAAGCTACCTAAAACATTTACTACTTTTACATTTACTACTATTTAATACTTTTAAACATCTCAGCCGTCATCAAGAAGGCCCAACAGTGGCTGCACTTCCTGAGAGTCCTCAGGAAGTACAAACTGATCACCGACCTGCTGCTGACCTTCTACCGCTCGTCCATTGAGAGCCTGCTAACCTACTGCATCACGGTATGGTACGGCAGCTGCACCAAGGCGGATAGAGTGAGGCTTCAGAGTGTGGTCAAGACAGCACAGAAGATCATGTGCTGTCCTCTCCCCTCCATGATGGACATTTTTCCTCCCGCTGTCTCAGTAGGGCAGCAAACATCATGAAGGACAGCTCCAACCCTGGCTTCGACATGTTCAGACTGCTTCCCTCAGGGAAGCGCTACAGGTGCATTAATACAAAAACCCACAGACTCAAAAACTGTTTCTTCCCCAAAGCAATAACCACCCTGAACTCACACATGCACCGATAACACAGCCCCCCACTTCCCACTTCCTCCATTGACCACCATTATCTGTTGATACCAAATTCCATGTGCAATAATTGTATGTACATAACATTACTGTCCATATGTAAATAGCGCTGCAGAAGTGTCCCCCCCCCCCATCCCCACCCCAAGTATGTTTGTTACACTGAGTAGGAGATGCTCTGTATCTCACTTTACACCTGTATAGTGACAATAAAGGCATTCTATTCTATTCTATTCTATTCTATTCTAAAAAATAAAACTGGGCTTCAACACAAAAGCTGTGTAGTTTGTGATTTATTTATGTTTGATTTCAGCAAACAGAACCAGAACTTATGGAGGGGTTCAACAATAACTTCACTTTTACAAACTATTTTGTTAAATCTAAGGACTGAAAACCAAGCTTCCTCACATAAACTTGATAAGAGTGGAGGTGTAAAAAGCCAGTGTGCGTGTGTTCCAGGACTCACGGGAGAAGGAGGCTTGGCGAAGTTGAGGTGTGCATACAGAAGTACAGCGATGTCGTTCTGGCTCGCCTCCAGGGCGATGGACAGAGCCGTGCTGCCGTCCTGCGCGAGAGTCAGAGGCTCCAGGTGAGAGTGAGGCTATCAGCAGGATGTGTAGAAACGTGAGGCGGACAGGAAATGCTTACGTTATCAGTGAGAGTTGCATCACACCCTGGGACAGAAAGGAGCTGACGGACAATATCCACGTGACCGTGCTCGCAGGCGCACATGAGCGCCGTGGAGCCGTCGTCGTCTCGGATGTTGACCTGAGCTCCGCAGGACAGCAGCGCCCGAACCATGTCCCCCCGGCCGTGACTCACCGCAAGCATCAGAGCTGTCTGCCCGGCCTGCAAACACACATCCTTCAAAAATAATTAATCTTATAAAACAGCACCAGCCACTAAATTCAACTACGTGCTATTTAAAGAGCAAGTCACCCCCAAATCAACTTTTTTTTGCTGATAAACTAAATAAACGAGTGTCTAATCGTGCTGCAGACACGTGTCGTCAATAATTTGGTACTTCAGTGCATCTTAGTTAAAATTTAAATATTCTGCCTAAAACTGTCAGTGTTGCGCCGTCGTCAGGTAAAAACTCTGCACTGTATTTGAATTTAAATCTGCCACCGCTATTGGCTAAGAGGTATGCTATGATGTAAACTGGTACATTATGAGGTCACAATGCTGTCATGAGCCTGTGTGTGTGTGTATTTGTTAGCAGCTCCGCCCTCTCGGTCTGCCAGGCAACAGCATGTGTTGCATTTTTCAAACATGAAGTGGGAGTGGAGTTAGACTCTGGTAGGGGGTGACTTGCTCTTTAAGAAACTCTGCACTGTGGCTCAGATCGAACTGCCTTCTGGAGATGCAGTAACACCGAGTGCACAGCAGAGGGCGCACCTGACTGGCCCTGGCGTTGACGTCCCCGGCGCGCAGCAGCTGCAGGACAGTTTGGAGGTCACTGTCAGAGTTGAAGGCGGCCAGAGCCGTCAGCATGATGGCTGTGTAACCCGCCTTGTTCTGCTTGTCAGCGTTACAAAGAGCTGTCGGGTAAAGAGGGCCGTCAGTGTGACAAACGCTGCAGTGAAAGTAGTGCAACACTGGCTTTTTCTAGGACCTCACATGTTACACACCAGTCACAGAAAAATCTAAATCGAATTCATGCTCCACGTATTTATTTACTGCGCTGGCCACAGAGCTCTCATTAGAAACCACGAGTCACTTTGTTCGCAAAGGCCTCACCGGTGTCCAGGAGAAGTTTCACAACAGGGAAGTTGGAGTGGGAAACGGTGTAGTGAAGGGCCGTGTTCCCATTGCCGTCCGCCATGTTGATCACAAACTGCAACAGCTGGGGGGACATGGAAGCGAAGGTGTCCATGTAGGCCTTGACAACAGCTGTGTTGGCTGCTTTGTGACAGGACACACGCAGCCACTCCTGCAGCACGGTGGTGTAGGCTGCCCTCTGAGATCAGACACAATGGGGACACTTCAAAAAACAGACGCCTCTGTCCTGAACTCACAGACTCAGAAACCGGCAAACGTGTTTCGAGGATAATAAAGTAAACGATTCAGCAGTTAGCAAGAATATCACATCATCATTATTTCTGTTACATTCTTAGAAAACTCCCTCCTTGCTAGAAATTCTTGGATTTCCTAGAAAGAGGTCGTGTCTGAATCTGAATGGATACATACGGCTCCTTGTTGGCTGAAGGCGTTGGGTTCTCCCAGGGCTTTCTGCAGGGTGTCCAGAGCTGACAGGAAGCTTTCACTCAGCTCCAGTCTGCACAAAACAACAATCAGCCACTGACGCTCACAGATTTGATCCCGACAGGCAGGCCGTGCGAATATTCACCTGACTTGTTTGGGAGGCGCAGACTCTGCTGCTGGTTCAGACTCTGGCTGACTGGAGGAAGAGGAGGAGGCTTCTGGCTTGGTACTGTCTGAGGTTTTAGAGACAGATGCAGATGAAGAGCAGGTAACTGGAGGTGTAATGGAGGTCAGACCAGTAGCGGAGGGGATTTCCTGGTTGTGCTTCTCTGATAACTGTTCAACAGTCTCTTTAGAGGCAGGATCTGGTGGAGATGAGGTGGAAACTGATGGCTGTGAGGTCCACTTTTCTGTTGCTGGTACCGGAGGAGCTTTGTCTGACAGTCTTGTGTCTACGGCAGCGGAGGGGTCGGGCTGTAAATCTGGAACTGTGGCTGCTGGTTGTTGAGGTACACTTTCGTCTTGAGGCTGGGAGGCCTTGGTGAGGACTGTGAGCTGGTGCTGGGTGGTCGGTTCTGGTAGTTTTTCTCTGGCTTCATGGTATTCACTGGAGTCGCTGCCTTCATCTGAGCTCTCACTGCTGCTATCATCCGACGAAGTGGTCTCATAGCTGTAAGACAGTTCATCACTTAAGTCAGCAATAAAACGTTTTGTCTGTTCCGTACATCTTAGCGCCGTTAACTTCCACTATGGACACTCACCCTCCATTGACTCCAATGAACTGCAGGTTCTTCTTGGTAGACGGGGAGCCGGGTTCGCCTTCCGCTTTACGCTTCATGATCGATCTCAGAGATGACTGAGGAGACGAGGCTAGGAACACATCACCCATCACTCGTACAGTGGAAACACGGTGTGGTTAGGACAAGGCAGGGTCAGAAGGAGTCCAGTCCACATACCTGCTTCAGAGGGGACCTCTTGGTCATTTTCATTGCCTGCTTGTGTCTCCTCTTTGGGATGAACCAAACCGATCTGATCACCAGATGCTACAACAACGGCAGGATTAACGACAGGTACAGAGGTGGACAACCCGCTTTTCAGGATGTCGCGTACCTGCTTGGAGGTGACAGCGATCGGCCCTTCAACTGGACCCTCTGAGAGACAAAAGGACAGAAGCTCTTTAAACTTCACCAAACGTGCAGTTTATTAGCTCCCTCTTAACCCCCCCAACCAGCCTGGATGGTAACATTTAGTTTTACTGCCAAAAGCTGTTTAGGATGAAATTACTGGTGGAGCTTTCCTGGAAAATGCTGTAGCATTTGATACATCATTATATAACCTCTAACACACTTTGATGCTACTTCACCTGCTGAGCTCAGGCCTTCAGCCTGCCCGCTGTGGTGGCGCTCCACTGCTCCACCTGCTGGTTGAGGTGAGGGAGCGCTGCAGGTCTCTGCTCGGAGCAGTGTGCCCACCTCCACCACTGTGGGCTTCTCCAGTGTGTACACCTGGATTCCCACAGTTCTTTGCTCCCTCTGATGTGGCTGCTGTGTGAAGCTAACCAGAGTGTGCAGGCTGCTGCCTTGTGGCTCCTGCCACCCCATGCTGGTTGCCATAACTGGATGCTCTGCCTGAGGAGCCTTCTGGACGGCAGCCACCTGCCGCTGAGCAGCCTCCAGCTCTTGCACTGTTCTCTTCAACTTGCCCTCGAGTTGACCCACTTGGTCCTTGAGGGTCTCTGACTCAGACAGCAGACCCAGGTCCTGCTCTCGAACCCAGACCCCAACATCACGACTGCCTCTCGAGTTCTCCGGCCCCACTCCAACGGTTCGCACCTCTTTCCTCGCGTCTGGTCGAGCTCCACCCGCAATCACTGTGTCTTCAATTTCACAACCTGAGTCTTGCTTAGAGGCTTCAGCTGTGGTTGGAGACACGGGGTCTGATGTCTTGCTGATGCTTTTAGCTGCAGCGTTCACCTCCTCTTCAGGAATGTCGATGTAGAGCTCCCCACGGGAGCGACCTCTGCTAAAACCCAGAGTGTGGCCTAGAAACTTCTGGCTCTTCAGCTGAACACTCAGCTGCCTTTTCTCCTCCTGCAGCACAGAGATTTTAACCTGCAGCACTGGTATGGTCTTCACCTGCTCTTCTAGCTCCTTTATCTTCCTCAGGGCTGCAGCCATCTGCTCTCTGACATGTTGCAAGTGAGCCGGGGTTGGAGTTACTGGTGTGGACAGGCCAGAGCTCAGTGGTGTAAAGGACCCACCTCCACCCTGGGCCCGGTTGAAACTGTGTGCACTGCTGATGGAGGTGTTGGAGCCAGATATGCTGTTGTGCATACTGCCCAGGTTGGAGAATCTCCGCCCCTCTTTCTCCTCCTCCAGCTTCCTGCGAGCATCTAAAAGGGTCTTCTCCACCCGAGCAGTGCTAAAGCTGGGCCTCTGTGACGTGTGGTAGCCAGGGGCGCAGTAGGAGTACGAGGAATGCCGGCTGTCCATGCTGGCGTTAGAGCACAGAGACTCTGTGGAGGTCCACCAGGAGCCGGCATAGCCGTAGCCACGGGGGAGAGAGCCATAGCGGGGCCGGCGCTGGATCGGCACCTTCTTGATGGTGTTCCCCTTTTCTATGTCGTTGACATATTTGAGGAAGTCCAGGTCCAGACGGTAGCCATAGGGGGTCTCCACTGAGTAGGGCGCCTCCTGCTCTTTGGTGTGTAAGCATGGAGGAACAGGCGGGTTGAGTTTCCCTGCAGGGGAAGGAAATCAACTTTAAACAAACGGAAATCTGCGTCTAATCTTAAGCTCAGACTTTAAAAATGGCTTTATCTCAGGGTATTTACTCTGAAACAAGACACAAATTAGTCGCCAAATGGATTGCAGTTAAGTCCAACATTAAGAAGAAAGACGTGCTTTATTGGTGGGGTCAGAGTGCATCTGACCAAGTTTAAATGTTTCACCAACATTTTATTATGTGACATGATAAATAAACCCCGAACGTGATTTAAATAACTAGAAATGGATTGTAATAATTTTTTTTCTAATCATTAACTTTTATTTTTGTAATGGAAGTTTAATTTCTGTCTCTTGAATTTTCTGACTTTGCTATTATTCCTGTTTATTAATTAGCGGGCATCTGTTGTTTGTCTCAACGTGTCTTTTTCAGTCTGTTTTAGTCGAATAAAAATGTCCTTTGATAACAGAAAACAACACCTTCAAAAATAGAAAATGAACAGATGCTGCATTAACCTATTGGACATTAACAGTAAATAAATAATCTTGAAGAGTACAATTTATAATCATACTTTTTAAAAGTTTATTACTTATTTATTTTTAATTCAACCTGTAAGTTTTTATTAAGCTTTCCTCCCAAATATTACATTTTAACATTCACAGGCATGTCCAGAGGCCAGGAGCCATTTGTGGCCCTTGGTGAGATTTTATAAGACCCCAGTTGCTTTTTTTAAAGTGGAAATTTTAATTGAACCTTTTATTTATTTCTTGTATACATATTTTTTCTGATTCAGTGTACAGACTTATATTCTTCCTTATTTTTTATTCTTCTTTGTTCCCGTAAAGGGATTTTCTATGCTATTCTATTCTTTGCTTTTAGAGGTGTGGACCCCCCTGGTCTAGCACATGTCTAGGCTTTACATTTGTCATGTAGGTAACAGCAAACACCTACCTGGGAAACCGGGGTCCATGTGCAGCACCTGAGCCATGATGAGCCTCTGGCTGCTTTACATTCACACAAAACCTGTTGAGACACACGTGTTCCAGAGAATTATGTTTTTTTAAAGTACCGCTTATTCTGCTCATATGGGAAAAGTGGGAAAAACAACATCTCATAAATAAGCTCAACAAGATCTGCTGTGGCGTACTGAGCAGTTGAACTTTAAGCCAGTGATTCTCGTTTCTTCCTTCATTAAAGAGCAATTCACCCTCAAATCAACTTTTTTTTGTTGATAAACTATATAAATGAGTGTCTAATTGCTCTGTAGACACATTCAGTCAATAATTTGGCACTTTACTTAATCTTAGTTAAAATTTAAATAAACTGCCTAAAACTGTCAGCGATGCACCGTCGTCAGGCAAAAACTCAGCACTGCATTTGAGTTTAAATCTGCCATCGCTATTGGCTAAGAGGTATACTATGATGTTAGATGGTACATTATGATGTCACAATGTCGTGAGTGTGTGTATTTGTTAGTGGCTCCACCCTCTTGGTCTGCTAGGCAACAGCATTTGTTGCATTTTTCAAACAGGAAGTGGGAGTTGAGTAAGAATCTGGCAGGGGGTGACTTGCTCTTTAATCTTTCTTTCAGATGATAAAGGGTAGATAATTTTTTTTAACTGAGCCCCCCTCCCCAAAAGCTATGTGCTCGTTTTCTGAAACAGAAGATTGTGTGTTTGCTTCTGTTCAGAGCTCTGAGAGGAGTTACAGGGAAAGTTTCCTGGCAGATGACTCCGGGACAGACGTTTGCCAGTTACGGCCTTATTAGGAATCAGCCGTGCAAACTCTCAGTTTAAGGTTTGCACACAGTCTCTGACTTACTTCTTTTCCCTTTAAACATCTTCCACTTCACTTTACTCTGATCACCCCCCCACCCCCCCACCCCCCCACCCCCCCCTCCAAGCATCAGCTGATGATCAGGAGGTTTAAGCGTTCTCTTTCCATGTTTGCTACAAACTACTCGGTTAATTAATCACGATGACTTTTGTTTCAGATGGAGTAAGATTTAATTTTGCTATGAGACTTTTTCCAACAGAGTGTCAGTAACAGAGTGTGTGTGTACTTGGAAAAGATTAACTTTCTAGGTCATCTCTTCGTGGGAACAAGAGATGTAATGTTTAAGCCGCCCACCGCAAACAAGCAAAGAATCTTTATTTTTCTGTGACTTTGAAGAAGATTAAAAGTTTTAAAACACACCAATGTTGTGTGTGTGTGCGTGTTTCTTCTCTCCATCTCTGTCTTGTGACCATAACTGGTGCTTGCTCGTTTCTGAAAAGTAGGGCACTTGGAAACACTGACTAAACTGACTTGGTATTTGTGAAGTGCTGCGTTCAGTTGAATTTCTCTGCATGATTCTCCTTATCTGTGCCCTTTCATCGGCCCTCCGTACCAAGATGGCCACTCGCCGTGGTGAGAAAGAATCCCACGTGTGAATCAGGCACGAGGAATTTGTCAGCCCGACATAAACAGCACACACCGCGTCAGACGTGGCGGAGAGAACGGAGAGGGATCGCTGACTCCGACGGCGAAACGTTAAAGAAGAGAAAGAACTCTGGCCCCCTGCCTTCACATCTTTCATTTCAAGTGTCTGTTTATCTCCAGCCTAAGTGTCGAACTGATTATGTGTTGCATGTTGTAGTGCGGTGCGGTGACCCGATGTGTGAGAAAGTGACACAGAGGCGTGTTTGGAAGTGAGAGAATGTGTGTGTCAGAGAGCAGCTGAGGGAGAGCGTTTGTGGGCAGGAGGGTGGAGGACAGCGGGGGAACAGATGAGGAGATATAATTAGTCAGTAGTTTGGTCCCTAAACAGACACCAGACACAAAGGCTGACGTCCACTCCGTCCCAGTTGACTCCATGAAGCGGTTTTCTTTTTCTTCTCCATCATTTCATATCTTCACACTCCCATAGCTCTCTGCTTCAGCTGTCCTCCCCCCTCATTGCTTCTCTGGGAGCTGTTCCTCCCACATCGTCTCTCCCAGAAACACCCACGTCACCCGGCCTCCACATCTGCTTTGTAGGTCGGTGGTGAGCTGGGTGTTTCAGATGTGTGTCCGTATTCCCATGAGTGTCTGCTGAGGCAGAGAGTCTGACCTTCTTCCCTCCTCCGGCTCTCGAACAGAGTTCCTTTGAAACGACATCTGAACAGAAACCAGTGTTTGCCTGCCCGCTGCACCACGCTACCATCCTTCTGACCACTCTCCCTGGACGTCCTCATCCAGGACAAAATGCTTTGCCCCCCACCCACACCCCCCTCTACAGCTTCCATAGGAAGCTAGCACCGCCTGCCCTCCATTCCCTGCTATTAAGATTAAGCTTGCCCTCGAGGGGGTAAGACGCAGGTCAGCCAGCACAAATTGCGTGTCTGTGGTATGTCCTGTAAGATGTCACAAGACAAGCCGCTATGTCACAGATTCAGGTTTTATCTTGTGCGACTAAACTGGTGCATCACATCTGGAGGTTGGAAAACTGGGTTTGATTTACGGCATGTTTAAACATTCTCGTCTCTTTGGTGCGTCGGAGGACCGAGACCACCCTCCAATACTCAGTTTTCCTCCGTTTATCAGACCGGCTGCTTCCATTGGTTGGCTCGCCTTATTATACAGTATTATCATTATTATTGCCATCACAAAGGATTAAAGCTGAACACTCAGTAGATTTTTCCAGTGCCGTTCTGGTTTTTGGTGAATGCTGCTTTGCTACAGCTTGGGAATCGTTTGTGACTTTGGAAAAAAAAAGGATTTAATTTCTGTATCATACCAGCTGCCTGTGCTGTGAGGATGGGATGTCTCCTCCCCCTGGGTTCCTTGCTCGTCTTTCCCTCTTCTTGTCTTTTTTTTATACAGTCAGCACCTGGTGGGACACACACACACACACACACACACAAAGAAAAGGTGAACTTTGGATGCCACTGTCTATGCTGTAGCAGTCTACAGGCTGGAAAAACAAAAATAAGGGTGCTATCTGACATGAGTCATAAACCCCCTTAAAGGTGAGCAGCTCTGAGATGAAAACACACTTAGGACAGGTTGCCTAACAGTGACCCCTACGAGACTTTAAACACAGGTTACCAACGCAGAAATAACTTCTCTAAACATTCCAGTGGTTTCCACCAACGAGACGGATGTGACTGAGATCCCACTCGTTCTGACGGATGAAGCCTGACCATCTTACTGAACACACACACACAAACACACACACACACACACCATCTCTGGGTACTCTTATTGGTTCAAGTCTACGAGCGGGAGGCACCCTCCCGTACGATTGGGCAACGTGTGACTAACTGTCCCAAATCCCAAGGCACAGACACACACCCTCCAGTTTGGTGGGAACAGCCATCACCTATGCCGGCTGGAGTGATTTCATGAGGTTTTTTAATGCATTCCCTCCATTAGCTGCTGCATGACAGCATCTGCTGCTTCTCAGACTTTGGCTTTAGCGGATCGGAGTCGTGGTCGACATTTTGTCTCAAATCCCCTCAGCCTGAAAGTCACTGATGTGTGACCTTTGCATAATATGATAACAGGGCTGGCTGTTGTTCGGACCATTGTTTAATAGTGTTGTCATGCCAGTATACCACTGAGGGTGGTGGAGGGGGGGGCAAGGGCAGAAAAGGAACTTTTGGACAGCAAAAATCACAAAGAGCCATTGATTCAGCCTTCAGTTCCACAGCTGGTTCTAATAGAAAGCAAGGAGGGGCATCTCAGAGACAGAGGGACTGAGCAAAAACGCTGTGTGTATGAGTGTGTGGTGAGCAAATCTGCCTCAAAACAAACAAACAGTTGACAAAGTGCAGTTATGAACCCACACGCTGAAAGAAAGTGGGAATACAAGGAGCAAACCTACAAAGACAAGCCTCCACCCTGACGGGCAACACTTGAGTGTTTAATATGAAAGCAACAGAAAAAACTACATTTATGTGTAATCCTAAACTACAGGATTAAACACAACACCCTACTGTATGCAGCTGATAGCCGTAAACCCCGTGTTGGCACAGACGCCACATACTTGTGTTAGAAAAATAGCAAATGTTGCAGTGAACACCCATCACCTCCCACACCACACTGATCCCCCAACACGTCAACAACGTCTGAGGCCTGAAGACTCCCACAGATCAGCAAACACAGCTGTAGCCACGAGGCTGATTCATTCGGTTACGAGCACAAATTCTACCAAAGGAAAATTATTTAGAAGTTCGTAATTAATCCAAAAAGGGGTAGATTTTCAGCTTCCAACGGAAAAATACGTCTTAGATCAGATTACGTGCCGGTGTCATCAGGCTCGTTTTTGGTAGAGAAACAGAGATAACAGTTGGGGATCTGCTGAGGAAAGGGTTACAGGAAAGGGATTTTCATCTCTGTGTTCCCCAAGGACACAAAAATAAACCAGCCACTTCCTCCCAGCCCAGGAGAAAGAGTAACAACAAGAGAGCACGATCTGGAGGAAAAAAAGAGAGGGGGCAGGAGACGGGGAAAGCTAAACAGAGCAACATGAGGGAAGGTGGGAGAGAAAAGAGTGGGAATGTGGAGGAAGAAGGGGCAACACTTAAAAAGGGGGAGATTTGCTGCTGAGAGTTTTAGATGGAAACTTCTCAAATGAGAAGAACGCACCAGAGTTTTCATTTGGACACCACCACAGTAAATCCAGTTGCTGCTGACATAAAAATGCAGCTAATTAAGGCAAAAAGTATCAGAAAAATCACAAAGAGGGCTAAAAGTGCTCCTCATAACGGGTAGATAAAGTTTTAAAGGTCATTTTCTCATAGTCTCAAACGGCTCCTCTATTGTTTACATAACCTAAACCCCGAAAATAGAAGCACAATAGAGAAACTCTGTGTTGGACTTAAAAAATCTAAGACAAACGGAAAAATACCCTCAGTCAAGATGGTATAGAAGCCATGAAAGAGGCTATTTCAAGTTTTTTCCCCCTGGAATCAGTTATGTTTATGCATGTTTACGCTTCCATCCAAAGCCAATTACCAGAGAGGCAGAGCCTCCGCCGCCTAGCTCTGTGCTGTCACTAAACACAAAAGCCAACATGAACGTCGCCGGCTGACAGAAAGGCTTAACTTATTAATGCAGCTGCTTCTACATGTGGGTAATAAGGGCTTTGTAATATGTGGACAAATAAATCACAACCCAATGGCAGTCTGTCCTCCTGACAGAAGGGCTGTTTTTCCCATTAGAGCGGTGGTGTTGAGGGGCCGACGGTGACTGGGCTGCAGCAGTCTGGTGTAGCATGAGCCGAGCCAAAAGGAGTGGCGGGCCAGCTAACATTACTCCTGGAACCGGAGCAGAGTAAATACCCGCAAGTCTGCTATTGGTCATTGTGCTGACCTCCCAACAGGAAGCTGAGCAAGGGTGAGGCTAAGCGGCAAGGAGCAGCACCGGAAAAAAGACACACACTAAAAAAGAAAGCATTTGGGAGTAAATTCCTGAGCTGTTGTGGAGGTGGGGTTTGAAAGTGATGTCTGCTCTGGAGAAAACTTAATGTCTAAAGGGGAGGACGATGAAATCCAGACAGCATTTAGACGTGGTGAAGGTTTACAGATCCCATCAGTGTGGGATGTGGTGAAGGGAGCATGACACTACAGAGCAGCAGTCATCTTACTGTGGTGGCGAAGTGGTTTCATCAATTACTTCCTCTTTTAAAATGAAGCACTGGTCCGAGCTCTCTGTGGACTTCGAGACAACACACGAGGAAAAGAAAACCTCCACCAGGCAGACTTTCCAGCATGTTTAAGTCATTTACTGGACACAACCGCCCATCTGGCTTCTCTGAGTCATTAATGTATTAAATGAGATCACTTTGATTATTTAGAAAGATAAATAACTACTCTCCCTAGAATTACCAAGCCCGTTTCTGACCATATGGTCTCTAGGACGACCACTACACTAGGTTCATTAGTAACAACACTAAGTAGGTATATTAACTTACAGCCTTTTCTACATCGCCCTGGCATTACTGTGCTATTACTGAATTATCCTGAGCTTATAAACTAATCTACCTGCTGCACACAACTATTTAGTGTCAATTTAAATAATCCATCTAGAGGGATTTGGGAAGAGTACACGTCAGATAATAACTCAGCTAAGCTCGACTCTGAGTTCATCTGTTTGGATCTGATGTAAGCAGAGATTAGCCGATTCTATTCTTGAGAAATTGAGTTAGGATTTCTGATTCTACACTCTAAGACATGAAATGTTGAATCTACTTAAACTGTCAACTAGTTCCACTACCCCGGTGGTTAGATTTTAGCCACTGTTTAGCTGAGTTTTGAAGGTGTTAAATGTGTGACATGCTCTAATGGTGAATGGACTACCATTCCACATATGGAAGCCCATTACTGAAGATGAAGGTGGTTCGTCTATGGGGAACTTCACAGTCCCCTCTGACCATGAATCTACTGGCTCTGCCCAAAGTAGATTTAAATCTTATGAGTTCCCTTAATGGTCGTGGTGCCAAACCATGGAGTATTTTGTTCATCGTACATGCTAATTTAAAGCATTTCAATTTTTTTTTAATTTAGAAGACTGTTTGTTTCCAAGATGCGGCAATGATGGTACAAAGTAGGACTGCACAATATATTGTAAATATATCGTTATCGCGATATCAGAACGAGCAATATGCATATCGCAAAGAACAGATAAATGTCGCAATGAATGGTCAGCTCAAATGTTTGCTAAGCATAATGCATTCTGTCAGTCAAACGGAAGCATGATTTTTTTAAACAAATCAAATAGAGCTCTTTACCCATGTGGCCAATTGTGTGAGTTCTCATAGGTTAGATGCCTGCCCCTGAGGCAGAGGACACTTAATTTTGATGGTTAGCAAACAACTGAGCTAGCTTTGTTCTGCTCTTTCTGCTGATTCTGCTTTTCCCGGGATCCACTGATTGCCTTTTCTTGTTCATTTTCTTTTCCCCTTTCCTCACATCTTTTGCTTTTCTCATTTTTATGATTTTTTTTAAATTTCTTGTTTTTGATTATTTTTGTTCCTGAGTTAAGTTTTTATTTATCGCAAGTAATATCGTCATCGCAATATTAATCACTGTTATCGCATATCGCAGGTTTTCCTACTATCGTAATGCCCTAGTACAAAATTGTTCTTTCAGGAAGTATTATTAAAGCTCTTTTATACAGTGACTCAATTTTTAAAGGCTGTTTCATTTGTAAGAGACTAGTTTGTAACCCTATTCTATATGCAAGAAAACCATGTCATGCATGAACATCCTTGCAGCTTTAAGTGTCATCGATGACCAAATGTATCTGTTTTTTATTGTCTTAGAGATCTTCTTTACGAGACTTTAAATGTAAGGGTATTTGATCTCATGTACCAAGTTCTTCTCCTCCAAGAAATACATATGAATTTACAGTTTTATCATTTTGTTTGGTCAACAACATAAAAACTGTTGAGGTTTTGTTATATTTAAAAGGTGACGTGATTTTGATTGCCCTTTTGGACTTGGGTCATTTCAAATGTGAGAATGTAGCCAGCTTCCTGTGTATTTTTTGCTGTACTGTATATTACAGCATCATCTGCAAACAATTGTATGTGAGTGTGTTGCATATTTGTGGCAGACTGTTTATGTACAGTGATAAGAGGAGTGATGCTAGTATGGACCCTTGCGGTACTCCTACTGACATAACTTTACTAAACTTGATTATGTGAATTCAACATTTCCTTTCTTGGAGTGTATTTACATCTTACAGTTTATTTATTTTTTCGCAAATTTTGTTATTTTCATCTTTTGTCCTTTAATTTTCCTTTTTAAGGAGACAAAAAAATTGAAAATTGATTTGTAAATGTAAAAATTACTTTTCATGAAAAAGTTTAATTGTGATGACACAATAAAAACAGACAATATATTGTAGCTTAAGTATATTAAGTCAGTTTATTTACTTAAAATGGATAATGAACAACATTTTGTCTCTAAATAAAACCTAATTCGAACCCAAAGGCTAATGATGTATTCCTTAAATCTGTTCTGACAGATTAATCTGCAGTGGACCTCAGACAGTGACTGACCCTCTTGCAAAGGTCCAGGGTGTAATTTCATTAGTCTCACTAAACCATTTAAATGCCCAGCGTGTGACCTGGTGTGCAAATGGGGTTTATAGCTCCACATTCCACCACAGCACCCCTGGGCCAAAAACCTGGAATGATGAGACAATCACATTCCAGCTTGACCAAAACAAAAAAACAAAAAAACAAAAAAAAAATGGTGAGGAAAGGTCCAGCAGCAGAAAAACCTGACCAAAGGACTCAAGTTACAGTCTTGGGGACTCCCATGGTTATCAAATGCAAGACTGTTCTAGCTCTACAGACCTTTTTAGGCAGACTGCTTACAGAATAAACTATTCTTTAAGTTCTGATGCTTTTTTTTAATTTAATCCTCTACGGAGATGCACAGTTAGATAATTGAGGATGCTTATATGGGATGAACTGTTAAAGCCGTAACAACTGTCCATGTGAGGCTGATGCAGCTGCTACAGGCTATTCCCTGTGAGGTGATTTCATACAGACAGTAAGTCGTTATACAACAGCAGGACAGTGGCGTATTGTGTGATGTAGTGTAACAGGCTGATGACTACACCCCCACATCCTGCCAAGTTCTGCATGTCCCACATAATAACAACATCTGACGTGTTTACGGACAACTCTGGACAATGTGCCACACAGCCTACATAACCAAGTCTAGTGATTACTATTATTCCATAACAAATGAGCTGTAAAGGATTCCGTAGAACATTTTTCATTAAGGTATTCTGCCTGCTGGGGTCTTTTTAGTCAGCTCCTTTGGAAAGTTGACGCGAGTTCCCAGGAATATGCACTTGAATTGGGTCATTTTACACTCAACCTTCATCCATAAAAACTCATCTAGATAAAGAAAACCAGCAAATATGAGGACAAGAAGTGCAAAGTAACACATCTGGAAGTAATGAGGACTTGCAGGACCCACCCTCTCCCCAGAGTCCTCTCGGGCTTAATTGAGTTTAATGAAATTAAAATGTTGAAATGTTGCAACATTAAGCAAGACAAAAGTTTTCTAACGAGGGGGAAGCTCATTCTGCAGATATAGGTTAAGATGGCATCAAATGGGTTTACCAGACATGTTCACTAAACTGTTTAATTACAAGCCAAAAGCTGGAGTTTAAAGTTCTCTGCTTCTGCCAAATATCAGCAGATGTATGAATCATCTCAAAGTGAGAGGCTACTGGATACAGGAGAAGGCTTCTGAGACGAGAAATGACAGGAAATCCCCAAAGAAGGTCAGAACCAGCATCGGGTCACACTTTGGCTTGGCTGAGGCGTTTTCAGATTATGCACGAGAAAAAAATATGAGGACATTTATTGTGAGGGCGCTCGCCGCCGTGCCGTGCAGCTCCTCCGGTGATGCTCAAACAAAAGCACCGGAGCGCCGACCACAACACTCACTCACACGTTCATCTGAAGAGCCACGAAAACGATGAACCGCAGCGTGTATGTACTGGACATAATCCTAAAGCCATGGCTGCATTTGGAGGTGGGATTTGTTTGGTGTTTCGGGTCCGTTACTTGGCATAAATGACCGGCGGGATGGGAAGAACCGACGCTTAATTAAAAAAAAGTGCCGCTAAGGCGCGTCGCTTGAAGCGATTCAAACATATTTAACAAAAATAAATAAATTTGTTTTAATTTTCACCAGAAGAGGAAATCCAACTTATCTTACCTTCGTTCCTAAATCCTCTCAGCCCTCTCGGCCCAGGAGCGCTCACTGACGAGATACAAAAACACCGCAGCCAGGATGCTCCGGAGGCCCCGCCCCCTCCAAACCATCTTAAAGGGCCAGCAGCCCGCGGGTATGCGCGTGCACAGTACCTGGGCTGAGCGCACTCACCTGACGCGCATTAGGTGACCTTTAACCTCCTAAGACCCTGTGCCCACATTTGAGGACATTGGCTTCTTGCACTATAAAAATGTATTTTCTTCAACTTAAACCTTTTTGTTAATATTTAGAGACACTTGATATTTACCATGTTTTATTTATTTATTTTTAGGAAATTTTACATTATTTAAATTTCTTTATATTGATTTTGTTCCTGTTCATGAGAGTTGACTAATCTGCAATAACTAGATCTGAAATCAGGAAAATGCAGTTACGAACAAGTTTGAGTTGCAGAGTTGAGTTGCCACAATAAACACTGCTCAGTTGTTCAGACAGAAAAGTTTAATAGAAAGCAGGGTAAATAAATAAAAATCTAATAGCAGTTTTCATTTGAATAAAAATAAAAAAGCACAGATAGTTTATTTGTTACAGTGTTGATGTGCCACCTTTTTTTGAGAAGTGTAATTTAACACATAGTAAGAAATGGCTACAAAAACATAAAACCATCCATAAACAGAAGTATGCTACAAACGAGTGTTTTAACAGCAGCTCACACAGATAAACAGCTATCCTACCTAGGTTAAATCTTTTCTGTTGCTGCAGGTTGAGATAATTGTGTGGATGAATGAGATGGCCCGACTGGAGGCAGTGCTTGTGTGTGATAAACATCTGATGTGTCTACAGTGCATCAAAAAGAATTTCACAGTTTAAAAGGGGAAAAGAAACACATTTAAACGCCCCATTCTGGCATTTACCTTATTTACAAGCCCTGAGAGCTGAGCTTGCACAGAATGAGCCCACTTATATTCCCATAAACAGAGACGTGCAGATAAACGTTACAACTGGAGAAGAGAGGAATGTCAGTTATTTGGTCGCTTACTGAGACTTTTGTTGTAGTTTGTCTGGTAGGCAGTGACTTTTACCAGAGATGTTTTAATCTCTGCGGCTCGGTGCTTTGTGTCTTTTTCCTTATTTCTGCATTTCAGCAGTCGACTTTTCGAAGACTGGACCTGCTGTAGGAGTTTCTGTTGGGTAGAAAACAGGATGAGCGGGTTACTAAATGGATTTCTTTTGTGAAATAATACATATGAGGTTTGGTTAAAGGTGCAGTATGTAAGACTGTAGTGACAATGTTACAGTGAGAAAATTTTAAAAGAGTAATGTTTCAGTCATTGTGGAAGGAAGGTTATACTGAAACATATCTCATATCCAGCTGCTGGATTGTCAGTTACTCTCCTTTCAAAACAAAGGAAGGGGGGACATAACTGCTGTTTACCATCAGTGAGTGTGGGGGTGCCGTGTCTCCCGCGAGCTAATGCTGCAGCGCCGACATTTGTAATTTGACGACAGCCGGCAAAAAGCTCCAGAGTTGTTTAAAGTAGTTGCAGTAACCAAATTTTACCACAGGATGTCATTTTTACTTCATTTCTACATAATGCACCCAGTGAGCAAATTGCAAGTTAGAGACTCCCATGTACCAATGTCTAGAGAAACATAATAGAAACTCGTTTTAAACTTTTTTTTACACATACATGAATTACTTTGGCTTTTAAAGTCTTTTTGCCAAACCAAGTGACGAGGGAGTCCTGTTAGCTTAATCCTGAAAAAAATATGGATTATAATGCCAGCTCTGACACAGAGGAAACTTGTTAATAATTCTACTTCTGATGGACCAAAACCATAAAGTTATGAGTTTGCTGCACGTCCCAGAGAGCAGAGACAAACCAGAGGGAGAAACCATTGACCAAAGCAGAGAGACTGAGGAGAAGCTGCGGGGAGCAGCAGGGATCTTGTGAGTTGACGATGTTGGCTTAAACTCGTGTGCTAACATCACAATATTGTTCAGATTACTCTCATGCACCAGACAATTAAAATAGTATCAGTCATTAATACTAATGAGCGTCTGTCAGCTTTCTCATACACGTTAATATCCGTTCACGTAACGTAATTTAGCTTAGAGAGAGGGAGAGAGACGGCTGCCATCTGGTTCTGGAGCTCACGCAGGCTTCTGTGAGCTGGATCCGACCTAGACACCAGCGAGCCAGTCAAGCTGGTATTTTTAAAAACTGTGAAGTTCTGACCTGGTTCCAGGGGCGGAGCTTGATATGTGCAACATGTGCGGCCAAACAGGGCGGCAGTCTGGAGGGGGCGGCATTTAATTTCCTATTTATATATTTATTTATTTATTTATTGTTAGCATCAACCAATACATAAACAAAACATAGAAATTGCATGTTCTTAATAATAATAATAGTGATGAGTGATGACAATAATAATATTTCTGTAATAAAAGTACAACAAAGTCATTGTTTGCGTTTATATTGTGGTTTTATTGCGCCCCCTTGTGTCCGCCGCGCCTCTGTGGATGCAGGGTGGGATAGTGCGCTCTATAACGCCCTTCATCAGGTGGGGGCGGAGGGATCTCGGAGAATGATGATGGAGGGATACAGGTACCGTTTGACATAGTCACTCACAAACATAATGGAGAAGAAACGGTCGAAGCCATCTGGTGCCCAATTTGAAAAAAAAAAAGAAAAGAAGAGGAGGAGAAACGAGGAAAAGATGCAGGTATGAATGTCTTTATTATTTAGTTGGTATTTTTCCCGCCTATCCCCCAACTTATTAACTAACCTCTCTAATCTGAACGTTTTGCATGGTGCTATGATGATCCTTTCAAATGTCTTTTGCTAGCTTCTTACGTTGCATGTATTTAGAACGACTTCCAACCGCTAGCTTTTTCTTTGTCAAATGAGCTTTTATGAAAAGCTAAGAGTGGGAAAACCGAAAGGCTGATAACCAAACGCTATCAAATTAAAATGAGTCTTTGAGAATTTTGCTGAAATACATTGATGCTAGTATTGATCATTCACCACGGCAGGTTGTCCTGCTTTCTTGCGCCATTCGCCTTTCTTTTTGGACTCGGGAAATGAGCTACGTATTATTTACCCCATGAAAAACGGAGCGGCAGCGGGCTGCTGGAGGTGCCCTGCTAGTAAGATCCCGTTTAAACTGTAAACTGACATAAAATAAAAACTATAATAGCTAGAGTGGTCTTTTTTTAGCTGAAAGTTGAGACCCTCGCCTTTCAGCACATCTGTACTGTACAAGTCGATGATGTCATCATGTTGCGTTAGGTGTGCTGCACACTGCGGCTATGTTAAAAACTCACAGTGACCAAGAAGCAGAGCGGGAGAGTTGAGGAATTTAATCAGTTAAAATGGATTAATGGATATTTAATCAATAGTCGTGGCTCCTCTTGTCATTTAGTTTTTTGTCTGCCGGAGACATTTGCTGAATAAGGAAATAGAAATTAAAATGACAAAAAATTAGGGAAAAACACTTGTTTTATATCTTATCAATTATTAATGATTAATAGATTATTGGTATTTAAACTTTTGGTAAAGGAAAACACACAATTTCCAGGCAGCCCCAGTCTGGAGAAGTGATGGTGACATCAGCCGTTAAAAATAAATAATACTCTGAGGTTTTTATGAATACTTTGTACTTTTACTTGAGTATTTCTCTAACACCAGTACTTTTACTTGTAAATGAGTAATATTTTAGCAATGTAACAGTACTTGTACTTCAGTACAGATTTTCAGATTTCTTTCCACCACTGCTGAAAACTGTAAATGCTCATTCTAACATGTTAATTAAAATGCTAAAGCAACAGACGTGACATGAAGATTGTATTGTTTGTTTTATGCAACATCAGGAGCCCTACGCAGATATTTTGGGATGACATCAGCTGCCACTGAGGAACAGCCATCTACCTCCACTGCTCATACCAGTAGGCCAGTATTTGAACTCGAGGAGGGACAGTCTGCTGGCACCACATCTCCCCAGGAAGATACTTTAGGTGGGTTTTGCACACGTGTGTGTGTCCAGCAAACATTTAGCTATAGACATTTAAATAGTATTTTCACAGAATATGGGAATTGTTCCATATAGCAATGTGGTGAGTTATGCTTCCATTTTCTGTCGATAGAGAGACCTACCAGTATATGTGAACTTGATGAGGGACAGCCAGCTGCCACGTCTCCCCAACAAGATACGTCAGGTAAGTTTTGCACAAGTGTGTGTGTGTGGTGGTGGTGGTGGTGGTGGTGGGGGGGGGGTGTCGTCACAGGGGATCTCGCACAGGGCGCCATTTAGGCTAGCTCCGCCTTTGCCTGGTTCTGTCGGTGTTCCGAGCTCCAGAAATCCACATTTAAAATTTCAAACCCTGCCACGGGTCTCCGGAGCCCAGCACGGACCTCCCTGACCCGGCACCGACCAATGCGGGCTACAGAAGTCCGTCTTTTCAGCTGCACAAAACACCCTCAGGCACGGAGATAGAGGAGCTGTTTCTCTTATCTGGAAACCCGAGGACTCGCTGTCCAGACAGGCTGGAGTTGGTACAGCCTTCACACACTAGTTTGTCAACATGAACACAATCCAACACTAGTAAACACACACACACACACACACACACACACTGGATCACATGACCTCTACCCTAAAGCTACCTACTCTCCACACTGAGCTGGGGCAGCGCTGAGCTTCTGACTCCCTTTGGTTACGTCAGAGGTTCAGGTTTAGAAACAAGAGCGTTTTTAGAAGCTTTGCTGAGGAAGGCCACTTTTTTAATCCAAAAACTACAGTTTATGTATTTTAAAACAAAATATCCACAATAAGCAAATCAAATTGTATTTTTGGACTGCATTTTATATAAATTAGAAAACATTTTACCTGCAATTTGCTCTTTAAGCACAGATAAACTGTCCAACTTCATTAATTTCAGTTTAAATGAATTATAACAGTGTGGTAAAATCATTTCATCAATACATCTGCTGTGGCCTCTGGTAGGAATGAATGCCTTGTGCACCATACTCAGGGCAAAAAAAGCCCATAAAGGCCTGCATCAGCATGGACAAGTCTGCCACATCAGAAGAGAGCTGAACACGGCAGCATTTGGAGCCATATTTCCTGAGATGCTCTCTGCTGTTTCCTGGACGTTAACCCAACAACAGCCCTTCCTCGTCATGAATCAAGACGGGTGAGTCCAAGTGACCACTTGATGAAGATCTGTCAGGATTTTCTAATTCTAGAGTTTCACCATCTGTTTTCTAACAGAAGCTAATGTAGCAGATATTGTAGGAGACTACAATCACAAGACTGTCCTGTGAAGTTTCAGAGCTCAAATGCGCTCTAAACTTCTGGATTTCACTTTGGGCTGCAGCATCATCCTGCCATTGTCTCCAGGTCTGTTTCTAATTATAAACCAGCAGTCCACTGACTCTCACATGCTAACGCAGCTTTAATCAAAGGATGATGAAAACAACAAAAACACATGGTGATCATTTCTAAAGCCAAACAAGCTTCAGTGCTTTCATCGGTGCGCCAACTTTTATCAAGAATTCCAGCCTTTTAGCCTTCCCTTCACTGGTGTAGGTAAGAGTTTCAGCCATGACAAAGTCTGCTTTCATGTTTCTCTATTGTTACAGTTGAAGCAAAAGAGTGAGCTCATTTAGTGTGTTCCTGTGCACGTGTTAAAGTCTCGGGTTACCGTTGTGTTAGCACAGTCAGAGCTGGCAGGGGCCGGTACAGCTGGGGGATCTTGCGGTTGATGAGAGGACCCAGAGCTTCTTTCAGTTTGTTGTAGTTCCTCTCCAACTCCCTGTGGTACTCCTTTTGGTCTGGTCCAATAAGCGCCTTGTTTTTCCGCAGGGCATCTTCACACCTGCATGACAAATAGCAGAGCACGCGCAGATGGACGGTGTTTGTTTTTCTTGCTTACACAGCAGATGGTCACCCAAGTGTGGAGTGTGTCGTCACCTCTTTGTGAAGTCTTTAAAGCAAAGGCGCAGTTTGTTGTGATGGCGAAACAGCTTTGGATCATCAGGAATCTCAGAGAGAAAGACCTGCGCCACCTCAAGGGGACCCTTACAAGGGAAGAAACGGTTACATGTGAGCTGAGGAATGTCTGAAACGTACCCAGATGGAAGCCTGACTTTATTAGGCAAGATGTTTGACAAGGAGGTAAATGTAGAGGTCATAAATCTTCAGCATCATCGACAGTAAAGCTCTAAACAGTCACCTGGTTGACAGTAGTCCCCACACAGCCCTGCAGAACCATCTGAAGCATTTTAGGGTCTGCAGGGTCTTGGTTTGTGGCAAAAGCAAGCTCTTGAGTCTTCTTCTGCATGTCTTCAATAGCCACCTCCATGGGGATGAGAATAATCTAGAGAACCAAAAACACCATCATGACATCGTGCATGTGTTTACCACCTAATCCCTTCACAGCAGATGCCTACCTCCTCCTTGTGGACAACATTGATGCGTGTCTTTATATAAGGGAAGGCGTGAGATGTTGTCAGGATGGTTTTGCGTTTGTACTGCTCATGCAGGTCCCCGTGGGCCCGGCCGTCCAGAGTGAAGGGGGTGCAGTACATAAAGGTACGTAGGTTGTAGTTCTTATCGAAGTAGGTGATCCTTTCTTTTAGCTCATATGTGTCAAAGTAAGGCTCAGCATAGGTGATCTGGAGGTAGGCCTGGAACCGCCAACGGGACATTGTTCACACAGACATGTCGTTTCTGTTTTCCTTTAATGATCCAAACGTGTTATTCACAAACCTTACTGGGATCCAGTTTGGTCTTGTCTACTGGGTTGGAGTCCTTGATAATTTCCACCACGTCATCCCCAAACTTCACTGCGTAGAACTCCTGCCCACCAAAGACATTCATGTCAGCTTCTCATTCATCTCTAATGACACTTTTATTACCAACGTGACGCTCCTACTTGCCTCCAGCCTGTGGGAGATTTCAGCTAACTTAGTGATGGAAGGCTCCTTGTAGACAAACTCTTGCTCATCCAAGTCTCCAAACTGGCAACCATAGAAACCTACACGGAAGTAGGTCCCAAACATTCTCTACAAACTGAGGATTAGATAAGAAAAGAGGTGATTTAGTACAGAATCAGAACCCTAATGTAATCAAGCCGATACTATCTATAGCTGGAGTTAGTGGACCAATTTTAGCAGCTCTGACAACCAAAAAAGCAGGAAATAAAAAATGAAAGGAAATCGTTAACAGTGCTGCAACTCATCTACATTAAAGTATGAAGGTAAATTTAGCTTTGCTCACCAGTAACGCGTCGTTCACAGACACAGGAGAGGAGAGAACGAAGTTAACAGGAGAAAGATTAGCGTGGTAAAAACAGAGTTTATTTTTGAAATACAAACTGAACTTGTTACCTCCCATCCTGAACTCTGGAAACACCGAGGGATGAAAACACAAATATTAGACCAAACTATAAGCATATTTTGGGGGTGGGGATCTGATTTGCTGCTAATCTGGGGATCAAACTGTGAACTAACTTGGTTGCAGACTTTGTTGAACGCATCCTGCAGTTTTCCGTGGACAGTGGCCAACTTTTTGAAGTCTCTGTTGGCTTCATGGATGGGCAGCAGAATCTTGTAGACCTCATTTATGGCCTCGTACATGGCTGCCTGTGGTCACAGAATAATGCAACACTATTTCTTCACATCAATCACCTAACTTTAGCTCAGCCATGTTAATGCTCTCTGGCTGCATGCAGCCTGTCGCCATGGAGTCAGAGAATGTGAGTCGCACCATGTTAAAGGAGGCAGCTGCTTGCTCCAGGAGGCCCACCAGGCCGGACTCGCTGAAATATTTCCCAGCACAAATGCCCTCCTCCTCAGGGGACAGGATGTCATCCGATACTGCTGATTCCTCTAATACATTAGATGAAATATTCTGAGGAAAAACAAACAGATGTTCATTTATTCGTTTGTACTAGCTCAGAAATCCACACCGCCAATAGCCGAAGCTAAATGATTTTGCTCTGTACGTCAGTCTAGTCTCGCTCCATTGGAGCCTCCACGGTCCCGGCTAGCGTGGTGGCTGGTCAATCACTGCTCTCTATCGGTTTGGTGGGCCAATCACAGCACTGTAATCAGTGACTGGGCAAACCTAAGATGGCGACAGCTTGTTAGAAACGGCTTTGGCATCATCTTTGGACTATTTCTACTTAAGCTCTTTTGAGCCAAGTGCAGCTAGAGGTACTTAAGTTTATTTAGAAATAGTATGTATTTGCATCTTCTTCGCTGTGTGGCGGACTGCCCCATTGACTGACATCTTAAGCGGCGAGTACGCCGCCCTTCGCTGACAGCTTTTTCTGCGTTTTCACTGATTTTTTTTAAGAGTCACAGAACGTTGTGCGCTAGCATGATGTCGACGCCAAAACTAGCAAAACAAAGCGGAGACTCACCTCTTGCATCAGGAAGAATCCGCGCGTTTCGAGCTTTATCCCTTCTTTCATAATCCGTTGTTGAATTGTGATCGGCAGAAGCTTTTCCAGTTCGCGCCTCACTTTTTTTTACAGCAGCGGCCCAAAACGATCTCCTAACACATGGATGTTCTGCTTCCTGATCACGTGACGTGTGACGTACGCGGATGAAGATCGGCTTTAGAGCTGAGATGTTTTTTCTCACAGTGCGGGGGCTCGTTCCGACGCCCACACAGTAAAAAAATGCTAATGACGACTTTAGTCATCAATTAGTTAAAAACGTTACAGAGTAAACCTCACCTGAAATGTGACACATCCGATTGGCAAGTAGCGGCAGTCCTCCAGCATGTTGAGGTATTCTGCCACCAGTGCAGCACTGTGAACGAGGCAGTGGGCTGCCTCTGCATGGTTCCCTCGCTCCGAGTGTTTCCCTGCCATGTTCTGCAGCCACGTCAAGCGCAGGTCAGGAGAGTTCTGGTAGCCTTTAGCAATCCTGAAGCAGAAAATTCAAAATTCAAAACCAATTGCAGCTTTTTATTTAGCCTTCTGTTGGTGTAACTCACGGCCATTCAAGTACCTGTACATCAGGTCGATCAGCATTTCAGGATCCTGCTGATGCTCCTTCATCTTCACAGTGTCGGTCAGAATCATGTGGAGGTTGAACACCAGATCTTGCACCTGCACAAACATCACATTCATCATGTGCTTTCCCTCTGAAGAGCTCAAGAAAACTATTTAAAAGCAGTGTTAGCTAACCCCTACCTGCTCTGGGAAAGGCGTGTCACGCAGCTCTAGGTCTTCTTCGGCGTACGTCAAGATTGTTTTTAACGACCGGCGAAGATGCTCTTCATTAAAGTTCTGCGATGTTCCCACCAGTGATGACAGAGACATGGTGACCTGCATCTTTACTCGTGCAAAGTTCTGTTACAGAACAGAAGAAACCACAGTGACTCAAACATTTCGGTTTAATGAAATCATTCATAAAGGAAAAACACAAAATAAATAAAGCAACATGACTTTAAACCCACATTTCCAATCTCAAAGTTCTGCCTCATGAGCAGGTAAAGAGAGGCTGAGGCGTGACTCCTGACCGGGCTAACGCTGCTGCTGCAGTGTCGGAGAAGACGCAGACACAGGTCTGCACAAAGCTCCGTGTCCTCCTCAAAGAGCATCTCTGGGAACTGAACAGAAACAGAAGTTTAACTAAACCTGCTGGTCAACAGTAGGGGTTGTATCAACTAGTCGACTTCACTGCTCTGTACTGACTTTTTATGACTTTCATCGACTAGTTGCTGTCACGTGATAATGACCGACAAGATGGGGTCCTCAGAAAAGACAGCAGGTGACGAGCCCCTGCGCGTCGGGAGGTGACGTGCTGTGCCAGAGCGTCGGTATCTGACGCCCGCCGTAAAACGGACATTTGACCTAATTGCAATTTAACCTTCCCCTCACCCCCATCCTAACCTTAACCAGCTTGCACATGCAAAGCTCTGATTGTTGACGCGCTCCAGACATCTGCGTTCTGAGCACGGCCACAGTAACATTATCAAATCAGGTGTCACCACCTCAAAAACTAATTTAACACGCAATCGTTCATGTCGGCTCATTTTCTTTTATGGTTTCTGTCTTTTATTCTTTTATTTGTGCCTGATGCGTTTCGCTGCTGTGGAGAGGAGCATCACCTGTTTTGTCCTCCGATGACGCACCTCACTGATGCGGCCGGCGAGCACTCCGCTGTTTTTGCGGTCGGTAGATCTTTTAGAACTGCAGTTCAAATGTAACTCATAAGGTGAATATAGAATATATAAGAAGGCAGGTAGCAGTTTTTCTTTAGGATTGAGACGAGATGCAGGAAGATAATAAACAGAGACAGGACAGAAAAATAGTCAAATAAAAACAAGTTGGTTTTTGTACCTGCTGGTTGCAACAAAAAGACCTAACCATTATATAATTATTTTAATGTCTAGAGCAGCAGGAACTCTGAGAGGCTGCAGGCGCATCAGTGAGTTTGCGGCAGCTGCGCAGGGGGAGGGGAGAGAGGGCTGAAGCAGAAACTACCGTTGTTAAGAGATGTTTTACTTAGAAAATGTGGACGCAATTTAAATTGTCAAAAACTCCAGTGAACCAACCCCCTGTGCGTCGGAAAAAAACGCTTGGTCACCCGTTGTCAGTTTTAGCCACTTCAGGTGTATGACGTCATCAACGACTAGTCGAAGGTCGACTTCAAATGCAGCCCCTAGCCAACAGAGGCTCGCTGTAACACTAGAAACGGCTCTCACCTTGAACACCAGAGCTCTCTGTGTAGTGAAGCAGTGCTGCAGAAAGAGGGCACTCTGGTTTCCTGCCATGCTGTGCAGAAGCACTCGCAGCACCCCCCCTAAAACGCTCTCTTTCAGTTCAGATGCAACCACCGTCTGGAACAACAGAGGGCATCAGCACGAGGACTTCACAAACAAACAGGGCCGTGGGAAAGTCTGTTTCCCTTATTACCTTCACTATGATTTCCAGTGTGTCCAGTACGATCAGCGAGGCCTCGGTGGCCAGGTTTCCATCCACCACGGACTCCTGCTCCATCTCAGCCTTGCTCCTGAATAAAGCCATCGTTAAGTGTCACACACCACATTCACTCATATGAAAACTGAACATCACATAGAAACGTGGGTCTAAACGTTATTCCCCGTCATGGACTCGGTCGGTGATGATGAGCGTTTTATGTCAGACTGCGGCAGCTTTAACGGTTTTATGGTGAA